TAGCGGATTAAATATAGTAGGATAGTGCTTTAAGTAGAAGAGGTTTTTCGAAGGGGTTTTTATAGGACGTGGTCTGGTTCATTCGTCATTATGGAGCTACTTGGCGCCTGCTAATTGAAACTGACTACCCCATAAGGGTTAGTGCTACCGCTTTTTGTTCCCTTCCCGAATCGATCACTGATCGATCGCTGTTGGTAAAAACAGAAGGGCCCAGACCACGTCTCCTGACACCGCCCCGACTGAGTGCTGTGTCTGTATGTATAATATCATTTCAGTGCCTTTTCTCTGCGGTCAAGGATACAAAAAAATTGTGGGGCGGGTCTGATTGTTTTCGTTCACCTCAGGGAAACAAGTTGCACCCTGTCGTATTGTGAATATGAAATGCTTACCAAAGTTGCTGTGCAAGCAACGCAGTACATTTGTCCATTTCTGCATGTGTGCAGTTCCATTCATCAAGAAACTCGATGAGCTTTCCTGATTTGAGGTAGACATCCCTGAAGTGTTACTTGTTAGAGGTTTAGTTCAGAAAACAGTTATTTTCTAGAATTTCTTGTGCCAAATTTCGATCATTCTGATCCATTAGAGCGTGAGTATCTCGAACCTTTTCTGAAGGTGGGCGTAGGCAAACATCGCTTTGAACACAACCTCACTGAGTACACATACCAATTTTTGAAATTCGCCTCTATTTCTTCGAAACTTTTACTTCAGTTTCTTTGACCGGGAAAGTATCCCCTGGAGAAATTTGGTCTCCTGAAGACAGACTGCACATTCAGCTCCGTGTATGCTGGCCTCTGGCCATAGGCGATGTGATCGGCTCCGAGACTGCATTAGCATGCCATTTTCTTCACTCGAAGATGCATGGGAACTGGGTCAAAGGGTAATGCTACCTGGGCAGCCCCTTCCGACTCCGTCCGCGCTGCCGTGCAGTTAGATACACGCCTAACTATAGCCAAACGCGCTGCTTGCCCGCGTTCTTTCACTTACTGATTGTTCTTTGTCGTAAAGTACTTGTTTCATTGCGGTGCCTTGACATCAATGCAAGTGCACCACCTTGAGGATAATGCGGGTGGAGTGTGGAGACGGCGCTCTCAAAAGCGAAGCGTACCTTTCATCCTCGAAATCGGCCTAAGTAATCATGAGCATTTCTGTATTGCACAGCATTGGGTGGATAGAACGCCACTGTCTCTCCGATCATATGCAGAAGCTTTTGGGCTACATACGACCGCCATATGTCCGTCGTACTTAATTAATAATTGACATCACTAGCAGTTCAGGATATGTATATGTGGCAAACCCACCGAAACGTCACTGTTGTAGGC